AATTAAATAAGTTTTATAGCTAAAAATTAGTGTAGTTAAAAATTATTGAACGTTTTGAATAGAGTTTTTTTGATTTATAATTGAAAATTTGCTTTGTCATTCATAAAAAATGTAATTAAAAAATTAAATACAAATATTTATCATTTTTAAATGAACATATTAAATATTGATAGTATTATTTTTAATATTAATCAATAATATGTTATAATTCTTTAGATATTTCAATAAAACGTTGAAAATTTTTGGTGTGCCTATTGGCATATATTTTATTAATTAAACTACTGCTCCCGGAGTGTTCAACTACTAAGGCTTGTCAGAATTGATTGTTAAACTATTACTCCTTTGATAGTCTATCTTAAAAACTTTGTCAAAATATAAATATTCTATCTTTGTTATTTTGCTAATCTAAATTGTTTATATTTTCATGAAAATCACTAATTTTAACTAATAATTACATCTTTATGTAATAATACTGAAGTTAGCCGACGTTTTTGATTTTTTGATTATTTTTCATTTATTAAATTAGAACTAAAAAATAGTTTTTAAAAATTGCACTTATAGTTTTTAAAGTTTTTTACCAATGAAAATTTTTTTATAATCATTTTTTCAATAAAAAATTATTTTAAAAATTTTTAGATGTCCGCTAACTTAATTTTTATCTTTATGTATTAAAAGTAGGGTCAAATACGTTTTACTTTGAAACCTGTTCAACTGCTGGATACTTTATCTTAATTATAAAAAATTTGAATTTTTTTTTATAAATCTTAATTATTAAATTACAGCAAAAAATTTTTTGTTTAAAATCAAACATTTTTTTTAAAAAAATTAAATTTTAAAAAATTTTTATATCAAAAAATTTTTATTGGATCAATATTTTTGCTGTAATATTAAAAATTTCAATTTAAAATTGTGTCAAAAATTTTGACAATTTATTTTTGTAAAAAAAATTATGATACTAAAGTTAGCCAACGTTTTTAAATATTTGATTATTTTTTTTAATAATTAAATTAAGAAAAAATATTTTTAAACAATTTCACTTACAGTTTTTAAAGTTTTTTACAAGTGACATTTTTTAAAAATTTTTTTGTAATAATTTTTTCAATAAAAAAAAATTCAAAAAATTCTTAAATGTCGGCTAACTTGATTTTCATAAAAAATTTATATAAAAAAAAATAAATTTAAATAACTAAATAAATAAATAAATAAATAAACATACATGACTGATTTCCACTGAGTATGATAATTATTATTAAGCCGTCTTATCTCAATTGCTTCCTCCGGTGGCAGCCTCAACCTCGGGTTTATTCTAAACAACTTTGATTTCGCCGGCGGTAACCACATTGGTTTTCTTTTCCACCATCTTATTGTTTGTGAATTAATTGCATTTATTCCAACCCACTCATTAATTATTAAATTGTTCATCATTTTATTTATTGTTCCACTTGTTCGCAACATTTTTGCTCTTACTTTTTTATTTTTTTACACCAATGACAAATTTTACAATTTTTACCTAAAAAAAAAAATAATATAATTAATAATTACTTAGAATTTTATTTATTAATTTTTCATTAATTATTTAAAAAAATTAATTTTTTTTTGGAGTGTTTTATTTACTTTATTTACTTAATTTACTTTTTAGGTTAGAGCTAGAGCGCAAATTTACTGCGCATGAAAAATACTACTGCGCATCGCGCATTGCGCAGTGCGCACTGCGCATGTCAAAATATTTGTTGATTTTCTTTTCTTAAATTAATAAAAAAAATTAAAATCAATTATTAATAATTATATTTTATAAAAATTAATGGTTTTTTTCTATTAATTATATTTTGTTTCAATTTTTAAAAATTGGCGCGAAATTTGAAAAATTTAAAATTCAATTTTTAAAAATTACAATTTTTTAAAACAAAAAAATTAATTAGAAATTAACTAAAGAATTAATAGAAATAATTGTTGAAAAAATTAAAATATAAAATTAAATTTAAAAGTAAAAAAAAATATTTAAATATTTCCGCGCAAAATTATAAATTTTGAGGTTGTCTTTTCTGTGTTGGTAAACTAAAAATAATTATTTATTTAGACTAAAAATTTTATATATTTAAGAGTTAAAAATGGTGATTAGTTGATAAATAATTAAATAAAATGATTACAAGAGTGATATGGAATTTAATTAGAGTACCAAAACGCGTGAGGTAAGTTTTTTTTTATTAAAAATTAGATAAATAAATTTTTTAACCTTTAAAAAAATCAACTTTTGTTTATATGTTATTATTATTACGTATTATTTAAAATAAAGTGAAATTAAAAGAGTTATTGTCAATTTTTTTTATTTTTATAATAATTAAATTAATATGAAAAATTTTAATTAAAATATTATAAGAATTTTTTTATTGAAAAAAATTTATTAGAAAAAATTTGAATTGCATAATTTTTAAATAATATTTTTTTACTTATTTTTATTAATTAAAAAATCAATAATTGTCAAATTTCTGCTAAGTATCATTAAAAAAATAAGAAATTATTTTTAAAAATTTGTACTTTTAATTTTTGCAGGTCAATTTTTTTTGCCATTATTTATTTGTTAAAAAAATTAAAAAAATTATTATTCATTTGATTAATTAATTTTTATTAACTAATTATTTTTTTTTCAGATTGTATTTTGGTGAAAAATGGTACAGACTCAAAATAACATTTTTGAGTTTATTTTACAACGAATTTTTAGATTGGGGGTATGCTTGCGATACCTTAATGGAACCTATTTTTTGGTTTGTAAATAATTTTACAGCGGTATTAGGTCCAGTAAGTTTTTTTTCTAATAATTACATTTTTGTTTGTTGAAAAAATTAAAAAAAAAATTCACTTGTAAAAAACTTGAAAATTTAAAAATATTTTTTATTTCTAATTTAATAACTGATAATATAAATCAATAATAAAAATAATGTGTAGTAATTACCACAATTTTACAATCAATTTGATTCAAAATTTTTTAAATCCATAAAAATTCAAAATTTTGTATAATATTGATAAGTATTTTAGGTAAAAAAAAAAAAATTCAAGCTTTTTAACGTTAAAGTCATGTATTAAAACACTTAAAATAATTTTAAAAAGTGTTTTATTAATTCAAAATTATAACTTTCAGCTTCTAGTCTTTACAGTATCAGTATTAACCGCGATAATCGTTTACATCGCTTATTATATCGGATTTCCTTACTGGTGGGAAAAGAGCCCATTGATGACATGTGTCTTGATGATAATCGGCAATTGGATACTAATGAATGTCTTGTTTCACTACTACATGGGAGTTAACGTCCCAGCTGGATATCCACCCTCTGGAATTTTAATTCCTGAAGCGGTCAGTATTTGCAAAAAATGCATCAGTCCAAAACCTCCTCGTACGCATCATTGCTCTGTATGCAACAGATGTATTCTAAAAATGGACCACCACTGTCGTATCCTTTTTCCATTTACAATTCCTGTTTATTGTTTAAATTTTATTGAAATCTACTTTAAGGAGTTTGTTCCTTAATTTTAAACCAGCTTGGCTGAACAATTGCGTGGGGCACTACAACCACCGTCATTTTTTGCAATACATGGCCTTCACCGTATTAGGTGTTGTCTTCTTGATGCTGTTTGGCGTTGAAATAGCATATCAGGAGTATTTTCCAGCCCAAGATCCGGATCTGCATGGCCATCCTGTGAGGATCAACAATTCAGAAATAATTCCAGTGGTAAGCAATTTTATATTATTTTCTTATTTTATTAATTAATAATATATTTAATTGATTTTAGACGGAGTCTATGGATCATTTGAGTGCAGAAGAACTATCAGAAATCGCTCGTCAAAATGAAGAAATCAAAGAACACGAATTGAGACGGCGATTGATCCTCTTTGCGGCGTTGATCTGCGTAGCTACTTTTGCTGCCTTAGGTGCTCTAACTTTCTGGCACGCTGGATTAATTGCAAGAGGAGAAACCAGCATTGAAGCTCGCATCAACGCTACCGAGCGCAAAAAGTACAAAAGCTTGGGGAAGGATTATCAGAACCCGTATGACTTCGGGCCAAGGAAGAACTGGAAAATTTTTCTGGGCCTAAGAGGACGCAGCTGGTGGCGAATCTTGATGCCCTCGACACACAAACCTGATGGAGATGGCCTCATTTGGGAGAGCATTTATGATAAAATTGTGATGGAAGGTTGTCAGGCTAGGTGACAAAAAGAGTTTTGGAAGAATGTTTGAAGATTGCAATCATGAATTTTATCAGTGTACATTTCTATTTTTTATGTTACTTGTATTTGTAAGATATGGACCAATAAAAGTTTTAATATTTAAGGGGGTGTTGTAAGGGGATACTGACTACTATACTATCGAAGAGAAAAATTTATTTATAATTATACCCAAGCCCTTTTTTTGTGCATCAAAAAAATATAAATCGAAAAAACATCACTCTGAAAAAATTTGAGGATTTGCAGAAAATTTCAAAGTTTAATAGGGTAAATGCACCAATTATTGACCGATTAAGGTTTTTTTTTTCTGTACTAAGCTATAAAAAATCTATTAACCTACTAAAACCAATTTATAATGGATTTTATTAAAGTTAAATACTTAATTAATAATAATTAATAACTATTTATAATAAAAATTAACAAAATTATATTAATTTTGTTATTTGAAACTTAAAATACTAAAATCACCAATTATTGACCGAAGAAACCCAATAAATGACCGACCGTTCTCCAATTAATTGACCGCTCAAATAATTATAAGTAATTTTGTAAACTACATGTATGTAATTAAATTTATGCAGTACTTTTAAAGTATTAACGACATCTTCAACAAAACTAAACATACAATATAATTTTAAATCGTACTTTTTTATAAAATAATATAAATAATAGCAATAATTAACATAAAGTCACATTTCTTTAGGTCACAAATAATCACAAATTCATTTTGATGACAATAATTCTTTGTGATACACTTGAAATTTTTTTTATTCTTCTTCTTTTTTTCAATTAAAGCTTTTTTACTAGCTTGTAACTCTTTTTTATTTTTTTAATTGCTTAGCAATTTTTTCTTCTAATAATTCGTTCTTTGATATAACCGTTCACTAAAAAAATTACAACAAAATAAAATTTAATAATCAAAAAAGATTTTAAGTATTATTTTAATTGTAAATATACATTTTATAATGATTATTTTTACATTTACAAAATATTGAATTTAATAATCAAAAAATATTTTAAGTATTATTTTAATTATAAATATACTCTTTAAAATGATTATTTTTTTATTTACAAAATATTGAATGACTAATGTACTTTAAACACTTGACAGATTTAATTTTGAGGTTGAGAAGTTAGTATTATAATTATACGGTGATTAATTGGATTGTGATAAAATCAGAGGGTCTAATAAATGACCGAATGAATTTTTTTACTGGGTAAAGGGCTTCTGACGGGATCCAATAGTTGACCGGTCTTAAAATAATATTACAACTTATAATTTAACTTTATTTTTTCAAAAAAGTTGGAATCTGATCTTTAATTAACATAATAAAACTAAAATATTTTATATCATGCCGATAAATATCACTAAATTAATGATGAAATGCACTCAATCTCCAATTGTACGGTAGTTATTTTTGACCGTTTTATGGCTGGTTGCGTTGTAAACAAACTCACAATATTTTTTTAAAGCTATAATCACTGCCAAATTAATTGCGTAATTTTTTATTATGATGATTAAATGCCATATATTTTTATTTTAATACTTTAAGAAAAAAAAAACCCTTGTAAAATATTAATTAATTAACTTTTTTATACATCGGTCAACTAATTGGTGACCGGTCAACAACTGGTGCATTTACCCTATAATAAAAAAATAAAAAAATTTTTATTTTTTCCAAAAATTAAAAAAAATATTTTTTTTAGAAAAGTAAATTAAAAAAAAATTTTTTTGAAGAAAAAAAACGACTCAATAAGTTGAATTTTTAAAAAGTTATAGCCATTTTTTTTAATTCGTAGTTTTGGTTGGATAAAAAAATTTGAAAAAATTCTGAAAACATTTTTTATAAACGTTATTAGCAAGACATCATTAGTTAAGATCAAATTGTTTTGGATATAATCTTTAGAAGAAATGCGTTCAACAATTTTGATAAAAACTGATGCCAAATTTAAAAATCTAAATATTGAAATTGTAAATAACAAAATTTTTGCTTAAAATTTCATCAGAGTCTACAATTATAATTTATATTATTATTCTACCAATTATTTGATGGTATTGACGTCAAACGTATCTTATCGCGACTGTAAAAATCAATTAAATACCGTTAATAAGCTTATAAACTTATTCTTCATATATACTTGACTCTTAAAATTTCAGTGTTATAAAATCCAATGCGCTACTTCCAAATGTAAGCCACGTATATGAATTTAACAGAATATACCTTGAGGCGTTTTTGACACTTCAGAATTGTCAATTGATTATTAAGCGATGATGTCCTTCATATTATTAGAGCGATTTAATTAGTTAAAGAACAAAAAAAAAAAGTTATCACCACCTTCTAAATCCCCGTCGCATAAAACATTATTATTTAGTGTAGAAACATATTTCATCTTAATTACAAGTATTCTACTTAGAGCCCGTTGATTTCCTTGCAAAATCCAAAGTTGAATTTAAAATGAGGTGGCATTTGATCGCCGCGGTTGTAATAGTAGCCGTTTTCTTCTCCGAAGAAATTCTGGCTAAACCACCAAAATACAGGCCGAATAGAACTAAAGTGTAAGTGTAATAATTGATTTAGGGTAAATGCACCAGTTGCTGACCGGTCACCAATTAGTTGACCGATGTATAAAAAAGTTAATTAATTAATATTTTACAAGGGTTTTTTTTTCTTAAAGTATTAAAATAAAACAATATGGCATTTAATCATCATAATAAAAAATTACGCAATTAATTGCGCAGTGATTATAGATTTAAAAAAATATTCTGAGTTTGTTTACAACGCAACCAGCCATAAAGCGGTCAAAAATAACTACCGTACAATTGGAGAGTGAGTGCATTTCATAATTAATTTAGTGATATTTATCGGCACAATATCAAATATTTTAGTTTTATTACAATTAATTGCACAGTGATTATAGCTTTAAAAAGATATTCTGAGTTTGTTTACAACGCAACCAGTCATAAAGCGGTCAAAAATAACTAGCGTACAATAGGAGAGTGAGAGCATTTCATCATTAATTTAGTAATATTTATCGGCATGATATAAAATATTTTAGTTTTATTATGTTAATTAAAGATCAGATTCCAACTTTTTTGAAAAAATAAAGTTAAATTATAAGTTTTAATATTATTTTAAGACCGGTCAACTATTGGATCCGTCAGAAGCTCTTTACCCAGTAAAAAATTCATTCGGTCATTTATTAGACCCTCTGATTTTATCACAATCCAATTAATCACCGTATATTTATAATACTAACTTATTCTTAACTTCAAAATTAAATCTGTCAAGTGTTTAAAGTACTTTAGTCATTCAATATTTTGTAAATATAAAAATAATCATTATAAAATGTATATTTATAATTAAAATAATACTTAAAATCTTTTTTCATTATTAAATTTTATTTTGTTGTAATTTTTTTAGTGAACGGTCATATCAAAGAACGAATTATTAGAAGAAAAAATTGCTAAGCAATTAAAAAAATAAAAAAGAGTTACAAGCTAGAAAAAAAGCTTTAATTGAAAAAAAGAAGGAAAAGAATAAAAAAATTTCAAGTGAATCACAAAGAATTATCGTCATCAAAATGAATTTGTGATTATTTGTGACCTAAAAAAATGTGACTTTATGTTAATTATTGCTATTATTTATATTATTTTATAAAAAAGTACGATTTAAAATTATATTGTATGTTTAGTTTTGTTAAAGATGTCGTTAATACTTGAAAAGTACTGCATAAATTTAATTACATACATGTAGTTTACAAAATTACTTATAATTGTTTGAGCGGTCAATTAATTAGAGAACGGTCGGTCATTTATTGGGTTTCTTCGGTCAATAATTGGTGATTTTAGTATTTCAACATTCAAATAACAAAATTAATATAATTTTGTTAATTTTTATTATAAATAGTTATTAATTATTATTAATTAAGTATTTAACTTTAATAAAATCCATTACAAATTTTTTTTAGTAGGTTAATAGATTTTTTATAGCTTAGTACAGAAAAAGAAAACCTTAATCGGTCAATAATTGGTGCATTTACCCTACCAGATGTTAGAATCTAAAAACCTTTTTCTCACTAACAGAACAGTAGCAGTCTCCAAATCCAAGAACAATCCAGCAAATCGTCGCCCTACAAGTACTGCAGTGACGCCGTTCAAACCTAAAAAATCTCTCTTTAAAGACGTTTCATCATCAGCACCATCTCGCCCTGCCCCAGCTGCTCAATCATCATTGTCTTCTCGCTTTTCACGACTCCGATTATCACCTTCTCCTCGACCATCATCATCACAGTCAGAGAACCCTTCAACGTCAACCAAAACCGGAGGATCAAGAACTACGTCTGAAGAACGATGGTCAAATATTCGGAATAAGCTAAACAAATATCAACCTAATAAGCAGCTGACTATCATTAAACCTACTATTCCTGGTAGAGTTTCTGTTTCTGGTTCGATTATCCACAAGCGCTCTAGTCGTCCCGGCCTGAAACCATCGATCAAGCAGCTGTATGAATCTGCAAAAAAATCACAATCTAAACAACCGGTTAGCAAAACGCCTTCGAGTACACCACGTCCAGTTCCTAATCGGCCAGCCAGTCCACCACCAACTAACGCTAACAATCCGGCGGCTAACCGCCCACCAACTCCAGTTAACAATCCAGAACCTGGTCCCGTTTTTCAACCACCAGCTCCAGAGGCTCTCGTTCAAGTAGCAGCTGCACCAGCACCAGGATCCAAAGCTGCGCATAGAGCACAAAAGAAGCAAGAGAAAGCGAATAGAATCGCGAAGAGCCAAGCTAATGCACAAGCTGCGCTTCAGCAGGTCAATGATGTTGCGGGAACTTGCAAGGATCCAACTGCTCCAGCTAGCGCGTGCTTCGACTTTTACATTCTTTCAGTGTCTTGGGGGATCACGATGCAAGTCAGGCGACTTGACATTACTGGTAATGTGATCAATAAAGCTGAGTGGGGTGTTCATGGATTGTGGCCCGCTATGAGGAACTACGGCAAGCATCCAAACCATTGCAATTTGAAAATACCCTATGATCCAAGCCAGATCTCACATATACGGGATGAGATGGAGGACATATGGTTCTCAGCTAATGGAAGTCCCATGACCCATCAAGCCTTTTGGAGGCACGAGTGGGACAAACATGGCACTTGTGCTGCAAGATCGCCTCAGATTAAAAGTGTTAAACAATACTTTGAAAAGGGCTTGGAACTTTTCCACCAAATCAAAGTTCAAGCTAAGCTTAATGCCGCAAACTTTAGGGCTAGAACAGAAATGACTAATGAAAAAATGCATGATGAGATTTCAAGAATTTTGGGACATAGGGTTACTCTTGACTATATTTCTTATCCGGTAAGAATTTCTATGATCATCATTATGGTAATTTATCAAAATTTCACTAAGTGTACTGAAATTTATGTTACTTGCAGAGAACAAAAGAAGTTTTGCTGAGTGAAATAAGGCTCTGCTACAGCCACGACTTCCATCTTATTGATTGTCCAACAGATGCAAAGTCGTTGAACCCTAGTAATAAGGACAAGAATATAGTTTATGCTTTAGGCGTTCGCCAGATACCACGTAAGCATTAGATTCTTTATTTAATTGAATCCACTCCAATCTTGAAATCTTACGTCAGATCAAACATAAGTAACATATGTGCTAGAGCAAGATTCAAGTGCCAGTGTCTTGAGCAAAATCCCCAGTTGCTAGTGTCTTTTTCTACATATGGGTCTTGCTCAAGTTCATGTAGAAAAAACTGCTTCAAGATTTATATTATATATAACTAGCTCAAGATATCTTGTGCAAGAATATGAGACAAGTCTAATGCAAGGTGCATTGAAAAACTTTCTGACGGATTTTTTGAATCAGAAACTCACAACAGACACTTACTTACTCATGACTTGCTCAAGATTTGCTCAAGATCCGTAATTCTCAGTAATTTGTTCATTTCTAAAGCATATGTCAACCAAAAACTAACAGCAAATGTTGAAGCGTGACTTGCTCAAGATTTGCTCAAGATGCATCATGCATTATATATTTTATAGCACTTTTTCCCCGACAACTACTTGAAGATGTATTGATTCAGTGGTGGTCATTTTAAAATAATTTTGTCTTGATCGATAAAACAGTAGGTCTGTACTCTAAAAGGTTAAGCTGAATGAGATCCACTGATCCTATTGTAAATATAGGAGGGGTAGAATGATAAGAACGGTCATTCGAAAACATTTGATCTTGAGCAGATCTTGAGCAAGTCTTGCACAAATATATTCAGCATGCTTCTGGTGTCAGTCTTTCTCAAGAATTGATATAGTTAGTTTATCGATAAGCATCTTCAGATTTTCTCAATTTTCTTACACAATTGTTGAGCTATAATCTGGCCGAAAGTTCTTGTACAAGGCTTGTTCAAGACTTGTCAATTGAATTTGCTACAAGTATCTAAGGCAAGATCCATAGGTAGAAAAAGACACTAACAACTATCGAAATTGAGACCAGATTTGCTCAAGCCTTGAAAAAGATTATTATAGCTCTACTTCCTACAAGTTGTTCAATTTACGCCAATTTGTTTAAATACCTTAATCAATAAAATTTATATTTTTCAGCAAACAGAGGAAAAGCCTAATGATAATCCGGTGATCTAATCCGTTACTCCATATTCATGAAAAATAATGTTTGATTTAGCAGCTGTTATATCAATCGGAACTCTGACTTTGCCATATATTCCTGTCTCATCAGTCATCAATACTCATTATTCACAGGAATATTATATTCGCTTGTACTGGAAAAATATATTAATTAAAGAAATTTGAACTATTAGTTCTTATTTGAGCTTTTTATTTAGCATATCATATAAAGTTATGTTTAGGATCAGGGACTTCGTATGGAAGGGGTAAAACAATTGATTAAAACAAATGCTCGTGCGTTACCCCTTCCATACGAAGTCCCTGGCCATAGTTATGTTATATCTCAATAACGTTATCTAAGTAATATATTAAAATGAGTTTGTTTAGGGCATCGAAAATCCATTTAGTTTCCTTAGATGCGCAAATTAACCCCCCACGAGTGCGCACACTTACCCATAGTACGGGGTAAGTGTGCGCATTTAGAATCATTCGGATTAATCCGTTTTTTTTTCCAAAGTGTTAAAGTTTTATACTTTATTTTTTAATTTAATTATTACCTGAATAAACAATCTATCGGATACATATTTTTATTTTCCTTTCATGCTTATCGTTTAATTTTGACACTAGTTTGAATGTTTAAGTGCGCAGACATGCCCCACATGACTCTATAAGTCTTCAAAAGTTATTCTTCACGTTATCAACAACTAATAAAATTTCACCCGCGATTTATTAGTTTTTTACTCTCTTACGTCGTCGTCGTTCAACTTAAATTCATAAGAAACGAATACAATTTGCACTTACTCGCATGCAATCATACTTTTCTATAATCGTCAATTCGATCTTAAGAAACACGTTTACAAATATTTAAAAAAGACATCATTCAAAAACTGACGTCAGATTCCGTTCAAAATCTGAATCTTCTGTAGTTAGATACCTACTTAAATAATATTTCTTATGTTCGAACAGTCTAGGGTTCGAATCCTGGTCAGAGCTAGTTTTTTTTTTCAAACTAAAAATGTGTACAATTGACTATTAAAATTTCAACAATGTTTTTTCTAGTTGCATTACAAAATTTCTATAATATTTTTCCCCACTAATGAATAAGATTGACGTCAAACACTTATCTTATCGTCTCAAAATAATTTAATCAAACACCGATAACTATAACAAGCTTAATAATGTAGAACGATATCTTCTACAGCCACTCAACCTTTAAAATTCTAAGAAATGCTATTCGTTAATTTGTATAAAATACCTCCCGGCATATTTGACTTATAAAACATGGGCGTCATTCGATATAATTAAACGTTGACGTACAGAGTATTATTAGAACACTTTAATCCGTAATTGAAAGTGTAAGAATAAAATTATTATCACCACCTCCTAAATTAACCTTAAAGCGGATGTCATTCCTATCAATTATAAGAAGCGAATCCTCATTTCTTACCTTATTATTCTACTAAAGTATCGCGTGTGGAATGTAATTGCACAATTAAATAAAGTATTAAATCTAAAATGAAGTGGTATATAATCGCTGTAGTTTTACTCATAGCAGCTTTCATCCCCGAAGAAATTCTAGCTAAGCCACCAAGAGCTAAGCCTCGAAGTAAAGGGTAAGTTTGCGGATTTATTCACCAACCTAACAAAAAAATCCATATAGAAAACCAGCCTGGATTCCCACATGGCGTTTTCGGATGGATTCCCATATGGTTATAGAAATCCATACTTTCCTATATGGATTTTTTTTAATAGGGCAGATTGAATCTAACAGAAAATTTTCTTTGTTAACAGAATTCCTAAAAGCTCAAAGCCTCAGAACAATCCAGCGAATCGTCGCCCTACAAGTACCTCAGTGACGTCCTACAAACCTCGAACTTCAGTATTCAGACCAATTCCATCAGCAAGACCATCTCTTTCCGCGCCACCTCCACAATCACCTTCTTCTCGCTTTGAAAGACTCCGATTATCATCCGTTTCTCGCCCAACACGAACGAGAACACCACCACCATCATCAAGCAACCCTTCGACGTCAACCGGAATTGGAGGATCGAGGAACACGTATCGTACCCAAAACCCATATATTCCAACAGCGACGAACCCACTCCCAGCTGTGCAGCCTGGTATCGCTCACCTACCTCCAACTTCGGGTACAGCTTCTAGATCTAGTTTGGTTACTCGGAGGCACCACGTTAGGGCACGACCATCGCTCCAACAGCTGGCGACTAGTGCAAGGAATTCACGATCTCGAACTCGAAGTGGCAATCCACCACCTCTAGTTCGTAATCCGTCACGGAATCCACCACCTCTACCTTCACTTCGGTTCCCTACACCGCCTCCAGTTTATAATCGACCACCAGCTGCAGCTACCAATCCGCCAGCTCAAGTTGGCAATCCTGTACCTGGACCTTCAGGGTCTCAACCAGCAGCTCCAGCTGCTCTCGTCCAAGCAGGAGCTGCTCCAGCACCGGAATTATCGACTTATTGACTTCAAATCCAAGATTTGGGGGGACTATGATTTTCAATCCTAGCCCGAAGGCTTTGCGTCAATTGCTTTTGTTTGAATAACTGATAACAATCTTGGATTAATATAACGAAATGATAATTCGAATTCTTTATAATGATTCAATTTTAACCTTTATGATATGATCATCCATGGTCATGGTTTTTCATGCCTGATCTCAGATAAGATCATGCTTGTTCATGCATGATCAAATCTAAAGCATAAAATATTTCAGACATGATCATATACCCACTTATTTTTTATATCTGATCAGGTCTGAAATTTATGTCTGATCAGGCTTGATCATTTTTTCCCAGATTATTCAAAAATGTTCTATTGAATTATAAACTTTATAATATATTTATAAAATAACATATATTCTGGATAGATAATTATATTTGAACTTGTAAATAAATAAATAAATAAATTAATTAATAAAAAGTACACCGTAACTGAAAAATGATTTATAGTCATCTTTGTGAAACCAAAATTAATTTTCATGCCGGGAAGTATTATCAATCGCGATTAAACTCCACAATAATACTACCAAAACTCCGAAAAAACACCAGCAAAACTCTTATAAAGCTCTGCAAAACATCGACAAAAACTCCATAGCAACTCCGAAAAAACTCTTCAAAAACTTCTCGAAAACTCTAATAATACCCTTTTGTGACTCCAAGTAAGCCATAACACGATTGCTTTAATTGATCTTTGCAAGGCCATTTGTTGAGTTTATTTTTAACTCCATTCATAGTAAGCAGAGATTTTAATTTTTTCGATGAATATAATTCGGCAATTCACAGCACCGAGCAGAAACTAGAGAAGGAGGGGTCCATTATCAATGTTGATTAGTAAAGGTCATTGGCAAGGTCATGAATCTTCATTTATTTGAATATTGATGAGATTAAGATGAGTCTAACCATTTAAGAGTAGTCGTAGATAGAATAATCCACTTGTCAACAACACCAAGTTTAAGAAAAATTAATTTTTTTTAGCAAACATAGTATTTTATTCTTGAATCTACATGAAAAATACTTAAAAATTTTAAAATGAAGTATCATTTAGTTGTTGGAGTTTTAATTGTTCTAACTTTGTTTCTCGATGAAACTTTCGCTGGACGAGGAGGGGGGTCTTCTAATACTCGTCGTAAAAGTAAATCGTAAGTCAAGTTATATATTAAAAACTTTAAATCAATTTTTACTGTCTTGTTTTCCATCCAGATGTTTACATTTAATCATTGTATTCAGTTAATTCTATTATTCTATGTATCAAGAATCATTTTTTTTAATCAACAGGCCTCCTAGGAGTTCTAGAAATCATCCGGATAATCGCCGATCCCCAAGTCCTGAAGTAAGGCGCTTCAGCCCTCAGAATTCTCAGTTTAGACCAGTATCTCCAGAAGCATCACATTCTCGCGCTGCGCCAGCTCCAACATCATCATCAGCATCATCATCATCATCATCATCGTCTCACTTTCGAAGACTCCGATTATCACCAAATTCTCGCCCATCATCATTATCATCACCATCATCATCATCAGTACCACAAGCATCATCATCATCATCATCTTCTAGCTCTCAACGACTCCAACCATCATCATCATCATCATCATCATCATCATCATCATCAGTACCACAACCAGGCAACTCCGCAAACCCAAGACCTGGAACATCACGGACCACGATTGAAAACCGAAATTTAAATATCCAGAATACTGCAAAAGAATTTGCAATTAAGCAATCGAGATCTGTTGACGGACGTTCTAATAATAGAATAAATGGACCACGTTTTTATAAGATTCGCGAAGCGACTGAACGCCCACCACCAACTCTCGAAGAGCTGCATAACAATCCAACGCATTCACGATTTTCACCCAAAGATCGCCATCGACCACCTCCAGTTAAGAATCCGCAAGCGAATCCATCACCTCTACCTTCGTATGAGTTCAATCAAATTCATCTAGCTCGTCCATCACGAATCCGTCAAACTACCAATCCGCGAGCTGAAGCTGAAGCCAATTCTGTACCTGGACCTTCAGGGTCTCAACCAACAGCTCCAGCTGCTCTCGTCCAAGCAGGACGTGCTCCAGTACCAGGATCCCGAGCAGCCGACAAAGCGATTTAAAGACGGAAAATAAGAAAGACAAAGTCCGCAAAGACGGAACTAAGAAACTACGTCCGCGCAAGAAGGTCTATAACAAGCGTTTATCTTGCGCGGATGATAACGCTCCAGCTAATGAGTACTTCGAAATTTTTATTCTTGCACTTTCTTGGGGCCCCCACCCGAGAGTCTTTCGATATGCTACTGAGTCTCCGATTAATAAAGCAGAGTGGAGCATTCATGGACTGTGGCCTGCATTGAGTGACTACAGACGTGTTCCAACGGCCTGCAATTTGACAGAAAAAAACTTTGAGCCGGAATATATCTCATCTATAGAGAACCTTCTGGAGAATAACTGGGTCGCACTTAAAGGGTACCCTAACATCAACATGGAATTTTGGAAGCATGAATGGGATGATCATGACAGATGTGCTTCAAGGCTGCCTTGAAGATGAATACTGTTAAACTATACTTTGAATGGAGCTTGAAACTTTTCTACGATGCCAATGTTCACACTAAACTTAGTGACGCAAACTTCTCGCCTAAGATAGTGATGAACAACGGAGAGATGCGTCAACGAATCTCGCAGATTTTAGGGCATAACGTTCTATGATAATTTTTATCAAAATTTCACTTGGTGTAATGAAATGTATGTTACTTGCAGAAAACAGGCAAGCTCTGGCTGAAAGAAATAAGGCTCTGCTACAATCTTCAATTGAATGTTATACATTGTCCAGAACATACCTCGTCAAAGTTAGCTGAGCAGGATGAATTAATGATAACTTATTCTTTATAAGTTTTTCTTTACCTAAGGGAACTTTGAACATATCGCGACCCAAATGCCAAAAGGGCGCATATTTATTTATACGCCCTTTTGGCATAAAACCCTTACTATCTAGCTGCTGCAATACGCCATTTTGGCATTTGGGTCGCGCTATACTCGGGAAAAAAATGATCAGACATATTGCAATTTATGTTCTCGCTAAAAATTCAAAAGAATAAAAGAAAATTCAAAAATGCTTAATCCTTATGTATCCTTTTCAATTCTAAAATAATATTGTAATTTCTGTTTTTAATACTTCAGGCATGATCATATCTGCAGCGTTTAACACTTCAAACCTGATCATGTGATCATTCATGGTTATGCCTGCTTTTTAATTGTTATAAGTTTTCCTACAAGTAAGCCACCAACACGATTCCATCAATTGATCTTTGCAGCGCCATCTATTGAGTTTATTTTTAATTCCATCTATACTAAGCAGAGATTCTAATTTTTTTTGAAGAATATAACTCGGAAATTCACAACAATGAGTAGGAATTAGAGTAGAAGGGGTCCTTTATCAATGTTGATACTAGTAAAGGTCATGAATCTTTATTTTCTTGAATATTGATTAGATCAAGATGTCTAATCATTAAAGAGCAGTTATAGATCAAATAATTCACTTCAGAACATCACCAATTTTCAGAAAATTTAATTTTTCTTGCAAACATAGTATTTTATTCTTGAATCTACGTAAAGAATACTTTTTCTTTATTAATCAGCAAAACAACTTTACGCCTGCGTAAAATTTTAAAATGAAGTGTCATTTAATTGTTGGAGTTTTTATTGTTCTAATTTTGTTCCTCGATGTAACTTTGGCGGGAAGAAGACGAGGATCTTTTAATTTTGGCCGAAGTAAACCGTAAGTTATTTATTAGAAACTTCGAATCAATTTTTATTGTCCTGTTCTCCATCCAGATGTTAACCTCATCATTGTATTCAGTTAATTCTGTTATTTATGTATCAAGAATCGTTTTTTTAATCAACAGACTTCCTAGGACTTCTAGAAATCATCCGGTTAATCGCCGACCAACAAGTTCTGAAGTAAAGGCCTTCGAATTTTAGAGATCTCGCTTTAGATCAGTATCTCCAGAAGCATCATCTCGTCCTGCGACAACTCCAAGATCATCATCATCATCATCATCATCTCGCTTTGAGCGACTCCGGTTATCACCAGTTTCTCGCCGACCATCATCATCAGTACCACAATCAGGCAACTCTGCAAACCCAATCATACCTGAAGGATCGAAGACCGGGATTCAAAATCAATTCCCAATTGAGCAAACGACATCTGTTAACCAACCAACTGGTAGAACTACTAGACCTGGTCAGATTGTTCGGAGGCGCTCAGTGGATAATCCTCCACGACCAACACTTCAACAGCTGGCGACTAGTGCAAGGAATTCACGATCTCCAACTCGAAGTGGCAATCTACCACCTCCAGTTCGTAATCCGTCACGGAATCCACCACCTCTACCTTCGAATCGGTTCCCTTCACCGCCTCCAGTTCATAATCCGCCAGTGAATCCACCACCGGCTTCAACTACCAATCCGCCAGCTCAAGTTGGCAATCCTGTACCTGGACCTTCAGGGTCCCAACCACCAGCTCAAGTTGGCAATCCTGTACCTGGACCTTCAGGGTCTCAACCACCAGCTCCAGCTGCTCTCGTCCAAGCAGGAGCTGCTCCAGCACCAGGATCCCGAGCAGTCTTGAAAGCGGCAAAGGCGCAAGCGAAGCAAGACAGAATCAACAAAAACCAAGCTTACGCACAAGCTGCGCTTCAGCAGACCAATGCCAATATTGGAACTTGCAAGGATAAAAATGCTCCACCTGAAGCGTGCTTCGACTTTTTCGTTTTGTCACTCTCTTGGGGACCTGCGATGAAAATCAGGCGATTTAGCCCTGTCCCTCCGATTAATAAACCAGAGTGGGGCATTCATGGAATGTGGCCTTCATTGAAAACCTACATGAAGCATCCAAGGCAATGCAATTTGAAAATACCCTATGATCCAAATCAGGTCTTACCTATACAGGACGCTCTGGAGGATAGATGGTTCTCAGTTAATGGAAGTCCCATGACCCATCAAGCCTTGTGGAGGCATGAGTGGGATAAACATGGCACTTGTGCTGCAAGGTCACCTCATATGAGAAATGTTCAATCGTACTTCTTAAAGGGCTTGGAACTTTTTAAACAAGCTAATGTTCAAACTAAGCTTACTGCCGCTAACTTCAGGGCTAAGAAAGAGATGACTAATAGAAAGAGATGACTAAGAGATAAAGAGAAATGCATGATGAGATCTCAAGGATTTTAGGGCATAGGGTTACCCTCGAGCCTATTGACCATCCAGTAAGTATTTCTATTATCATGATTATGCTAATTTATAAAAATTTTACTTGGTATATTGAAATGTATGTTACTTGCAGAGAAAAAGCGAACTCTGGCTGAGTGAAATCAGGCTCTGCTACGACTTCAACTTCCATCTTATGAATTGTCCACCAGATTCTAAGACGCTAAATACTGAGAACGAGGACATGAAGATGATTTATTCTTTATAAGATTTTATTGAGCTAAGGGAACTTTGAACATATATTCGGGAAAAAATGCTTCATGTTCATGTTCATGTGTGATCAGGCCTGAAATTGGACATGATCATGCTCTTTCATGCATGATCATGTCTGAAGTAGTAATACGTCAAGCCTGATCATGTATGATCAGGCCAAGAATTAGACATGATCATGCATGATCATGTCTTAGTCATGAATGATCATGTCTGGACATGCATGATCATGTCTAAAGCAGTCATATGTCAGACCTGGTCATGCCTATATATGTATGATCAGGCCTTAAATTAAACATGATCATGTTTGTGCATGCCTGACCATGTTTGGTCATGCATGATCATGTCTTAGTCATACACGATCATGTTTGTCCACTTATGACCATGTTTAGTCATGCATGGTCGTGTTTGGTCATGTATGATCATGTTTGGTCATGCATGATCATGTTTAAAGTGATAATACGTCAAATCTAATCATGCCTGTTCATGTTTGATGTCATATATGTACATTTTATAGAAAGAATTAGTCAGTATACTAAAAGTTGTTCATAAATTAATTATCGACTTTATTTTAAATCGAAGAACACCCTAAAAAACAAACGGCTTGCAGATAGTCCTGGATTTACTCAAAACGGATCCTTTTGGAAGCATGCGTTAGACGAGCATAGCATATAATGTAAGGTTGCCTCAAAAAGGGCTTTGTGCACCTTAAACGACTATGAAAAGAACAAAAAAACTAATTACCTCTTCGCTAAGCTGGTATTTCTATTTTTTTATAATTCCCGGAAAACCCTCTTTGTTTTTTACCTTAATGGCACTCAAGCCTGCTTTTAAGAGCAGTTAATTACAACTAATTAAGATCGGAAATTCCACTGACATCATCGAAGCTAATGGATGTTTTCAATTTCGACGGAATCGCCCAATATAACTCCAGCCTAGCTTAAACATTATCATTTCACAGTGAGGTTTAGTAACACTACAATCGCAGGTGTTGAATACCATGAAGTGGCATCTGATCGTTGGGTTGCTGGTGGCTTCACTGCTTCATGAAGCTCTTGCCAGTCGCCAGTTTTTCAAATTTGGCAAGGATAAGTCGTAAGTACCTAAATACTCTTCTTTGAGCATCAAAAGCTTTAGAAACTGATAATGAAATTTCACCAGGAGATCCAGAAGTCCAAGTCCTAGGAATGATCCAGCAAATCGTCGACCTACAAGTAACGCAGTGGTGCCCTACAACCCTCCGAATTCTCAATTTTCCAGCAGAACTCCAACTCCAATTGGACCGACTCCTTTTCGACCTTTGCCATTGCCAACTCCGTCATACTTACCAAGAAATCGTTCGCCTTTACCTCCTCCAAGAGGCGATCGGTTTGAGCGACTTGGTAATGTCAGACCAACGCCAGCAGCTGGAACCTCTAAGAGTAAAACGTCAGGAATTGGAACCTTGAAGAAAAACAAACCAGAAACTGGAACGTTAAGGCCTCCAATTCGTTTGGTTCCTTCTATCTCTTCTGGGTCTAGGCGTTCAAATCCTCTACCAAGCCTTCAGCAGCTGAGTCATCAAATGCCTTCGACATCTAGCCATCCACAACCTTCAACATCTAGCCATCCGCAACCTTCAACATCTAGCCATCCGCAACCTTCAACATCTAGCCATCCGCAACCTTCAACATCAACCCATCCGCAACCAATTTCCAACCATCCACAACATTCATCATCAACCAATCCACAACCATCAGCATCCAGCAATTCTGGACCACTACCAAGCAACCCTTCCAATTTCCAACCACCAGTTCCAGGTTCTCTAATTCAAGCTAGCTTAGATCCTGCTGCGCAGAAACAGTTAGCCCGCCAGCAAGCCAAATTAGCCAAGAACCAGATCAAGACTGGAAGGATCGTCAAGAACAAAGCAAAGGTGAACCAGGCTGCCCAGGTGACTACTATTGAAGGGACAAAGTATCCTAATAGAGCAGCGGTCAAGTGCAGTGATCCTAATGCTCCACCTCAGAGTTGCTTCGATTTCTACGTACTGTCAGTTTCCTGGGGGCCCGTCGCCCGGGTGGTAAGATCAGGCGCTTCGGAACATATCACAGAAAAAATCCAATCAAAATGGACCTTGCATGGACTATGGCCTTCCTTGCAGAACTTCAATCGTGTTCCAGCAAGTTGTAATCTAGATATACCCTGGAATACTGCGCAATTGAGGTCCATTTATACTTCGATGAAGAGGAAATGGTTTACTACGTACACCAGGTACAGAGTTGATGAACAATTCTGGCAGCACGAGTGGGACAAACATGGCCGCTGTGCAGCGAGGTCTCACTTTATCAACAGAGATATTCTTGCCTACTTTAAATTAGGCTTAAGGCTTTTTGATCAGGCCAATGTTCAGGAAAAACTCAGGAGGGCTGGCATCACTGCTGGTACCACGTTGTCTATTAGGGAAATGCGGAATGCTGTTTCTAATGCTCTGGGCACTCGGGTTAACCTTCTGCATATTAATTATCCGGTAAATATGTTACTTATGCTCATTTTTAAATTTAAAGCTTCTAGATTTGGCTTTTTGGTTCAAAATTTTCCATTTCGATCATTTTTCCGTCCCAACAATTCGGATTTATGACAAAAAGATACTCTGCAAAAATAACTTGGGCTTCAGAATTAGAATTGCGCGCTAGCGCTGTTTCACGAATGCCGCGAAAAATTTGAAACTAAATATTGCACACCTCGGTTTTTATTCGTATTAAATTTTTCTTTTGGGTTTTACGAACTTTTACTTATCATTTTTACAGCAGTCAACGGAAACATATCTAGTTGAAATCATGATATGTTACACTATGGATTTCCGACCCATGGATTGTCCGTCGCACCATAAATATTACAACAACGACAACAAGGATAAATCGATAATCCTCGTTCCAGATATTGTTCCCGAACACAAAATTGTATGGGAAGACCCCAATGAATCTTAATTGGTAAGAAATACAAAGTATAAGCTTGTTTTATATAAATTTTTGCTTTATTAGTTCTAAAAGAAATTTTCTGACATTGTCTTCCTTAGATTGACATGAATCATCTCTCGCATTGAAAATGCACGAAAGTACGAGATGGACTTACGAATGATCGGCTAAAAATTATGTTCATGATTGTTGAAAATTTAAATCTTAATAAATAACTCTGCATTTATTAAAAGAGTTATTGACTTGACCATAATTCCTGTTCTTTCCTGTATAGTTGCTAGAGTCTTTTTCTACATATAGATGGTGCTCAAGTTCAAGTAGAAAGAACTGCTTCAAGATTTATATATAACTAGCTCAAGACATTTTGTGGAAGAATATGAGACAAGTCTAATGCAAGGTGCATTGAAAAACTTTCTGACGGATTTTTTGAATCAGAAACTCACAACAGACACTTACCCATAGCTTGCTCAATATTTGCTCAAGATCCGTAATTCTCAGTAATTTGTTCATTTCTAAAGCATTTGTCAACCAAAAACTAACAGCAAATGTTGAAGCGTGACTTGCTCAAAATTTGCTCAAGATGCATCATGCATTATATATTTTATAGCACTTTTTCCCCGACAATTACTTGAAGATGTATTGATTCAGTGGTGCTCATTTTAAAATAATTTTTTCTTGATCGATAAAACAGTAGGTCTATACTCTAAAAGATTAAGCTGAATGAGATCCACTGATCCTATAGTAAATATAGGAGGGGTAGAATGATAAGAACGGTCATTCGAAAACATTTGATCTTTAGCAGATCTTGAGCAAGTCTTGCACAAGTATATTCAGCACTCTTCTGGTGTCAGTCTTTCTCAAGAATTGATATAGTTAGTTTATCGATAAGCATCTTCAGATCAATAAGACCCACAGGTTATGTTCTTTAAATGTATATTAGTAGATAATATGCAGTGATTTAGAGACTAGAAACAATAAATTTTTCTATTTATTGTAACAAACTCCGTTTTGATTGTAAGTTCTTCTGCAAGTAAGCCATAACTCGATTTCTTTCATTGATCTTTGCAGCGCTATCTATTGAGTTTATTTTTAGCTCTATCTATAGTAAGCAGAGATTTTAACTTTTTTGGATAAATATAACTCGGAAGTTCATAACAACAACTCTGAGTAGAAGGGGCGCATTATCAATGTTGATTAGTAGAAGGTCAATGGCAAGGTCATGAATCTTTATTTTCTCAAATACTAACGAGATAAAAATAAAATTTCACTTGGTGTATAAAAATGTATGCTACTTGCAGAGAACAAACGTCCTCTGGCTGAATGAAAAATCAAGCTCTGCTACGACTTCAATTTCCATCTTATGGATTGTCCACCAGATCCCAAGACGCTAACAAGATCATAAAGATGTTTTATACCGGAAACTACAGTATGACCTTAATTTTATCATATTTTCGGATACTTCCAAATTTTTCAGTTATCTGTTATTTTATCAACACATGTAGTCCCACCGTAATGCTTCCGATCCGACACCCCTTTCAGAGGCTGCCAAACTATCTTCAGTCTTCGATAATCTTCGAGTAAATATATACAAAAGTTTTATAGAGCTCCGGACATTTGACGATGTTTTTGGTTGGGTGATTAGTAGCAACATATTCTTCTAAAGAGCACCAACGTTATCAAATTTCACTAGAGCATTCTGCATTTGGTACCGAAGAATGTCTACCGAGTGAGCCGATAAAATCATTTCTGGAAGTAGCAACCTAAGAGGTAATATATTTAGTTACTAAAAGTTTCTTATTTCTTTTACATTATTCTTTCCTATTGCACACCTCATAGCGCGAAGCGCGAGAGGTTGTGCTTTATACTCGACTTGTCAAGGTCAAGCAATTTTGTGATCTTTAAATGCCTCTATCACAACCATATTACACATTATACAATAATATAAGTAGGAATAAACTAAAAATTAACTATTAATTTAGTTAACAACGGAGATATTGGGATTAGTGTGAGGTTACTTTATAGCCATTACGCCTTTGGTTGGAAAATAATTATAAATTGTTTCGTTTTTCTTTTACAATATTAATAATATTGAACATTACACTTGATGAATAAATAAAATTTATATTTGAATGCTTTGCAAATTTATTTGACATTGATATGACTTTAATCAAAATCAAAATATTTGAAACAAATATCTGTTATAATAACTTATAAGACCGACTTATCTGAATTACACAAAGGACATAAATCTAACAGCTGTGAAAATTATACTGTAAGTTGTGCTTGATGAGCAAAATAAATAAATAAAATTGAACATTATCTTTACTGGTATCTCCAAAGCATATAAAAAGCGGAAAAAAATGCACTTTTTATATACCAAGCCTCAACGGAAGTATTAAATTATTATCAATTTAATTAATATGGGTCCAGAGTTATTTTTGGTTGGCAGATTATTTATTTTAATAACTGGTGCAAGTAAAGGGATAGGACGAGGCTTTGCCATTACATTTTCTCAAGTAGCATCCAGCAATTCACACTTTTTATTGATAGCTCGAAATGAAACTGGATTGCGAGAAACAGCTAGCCTTATGAGTAATCATGTTAATGTTGATTACGTCAGTATGGACTTATCATTAGCGAAAGCTGATCAGTTGGAAGGTAATATTACTGCATGTTAACATTACATTAATTGTATTTCTGTCCAATTCTATTAATCACTTGTTGATATTTTTCAGATATGATTAGAAAACGCATCAATCCGAATGAATATGATCATGCTATTATTATCCATAATGTTGGAACAACTGGTGATACATCACAATTGACTTCTGAAATGAATAATTTTCGTGTTTGGGAAAGAATGTTTGATTTGAATGTGTTTTCACAAGCTGTTTTGAACTCAGTTTTCATGAAAATATTTAATGACAAAGTCAAAGCTAAAAAGTTAGTCATTAATATGAGTTCATTCGCCGCTAAAACACCTCTTCAATCATGTGGTTATTACAGTTCAGCAAAAGCTGCACGTGAAATGTATTTTAGGGTACTAAGCTAATTTTTTTAATATTTCTACTAACTTACTTGTTATTTACACAAAATTTGGTTTTCAGGTTTTTGCTAAAGAGTTTCCAAACGTCAACGTTTTAAATTTTTCCCCTTACATGGCTGATACTGATTTATTTAGAGCAGGGGAAAACATAACAAGAACAACAGAACTTCCTCGATTGCTTAAGAAAGCACGTCAAGACGGCAAAGTATTAACGCCTATCCAAGTAGCTCTTCGTCTTAGGGCTATTATATGGGCACAAAAGTATAAGTCGGGTGACTACGTAGATTACTATGACCCTATATAAATGGCAAATTTAAAAATAAACTCCTAAAATAATAAAGTATCTCAATCGACACTGAGGTAAAGTACCCAGTATTTGAACACTTACAAAAATGGGACCAGTACTTGAATAGAATTTTCGAATTGTTATAATATAAAATCGGTAAATTTATTATGAGTAATATGCGCAGATTATAATTATCAAATGATACAGTAATTGTATTCTGTAAGTTTCTTTAATTATAAATCAAAACAATTATATTTTTGTTAACTTAAAAGTTTACATGTTGAGAATAGCCGATAGATGCTATTTTTTTCATGAAAAAGATACTAAACCGTAAACCGAACAATCAGTAAAAAAAACAGTATATCATTTTATGTAAAAAAAATTGTACCGGTCAATGAAATAGTCTTTTCTAAATAATACATATTTTTTGCAAAGACATAAACTATAATTTTTACATTAAATTTGAGCGTGTAACTATACCTCGAAATTTTAAAAGCGGTACCCATAACCTGAACAAGCTGGGGCCGTATAATTTTAACAGCACTCTAATCTCTAATAGGTTTATCGACTAGTGATCAGTATTGTCATTTGTATTAATTACTGCAAATTAAATAAGTTTTATAGCTAAAAATTAGTGTAGTTAAAAACTATTGAACGTTTTGAATAGAGTTTTTTTGATTTATAATTGAAAATTTGCTTTGTCATTCATGAAAAAAGTAATTAAAAAATTAATTACAAATATTTATCATTTTTAAATGAATATATTAAATATTGATAGTATTATTTTTAATATTAATCAATAATATGTTATAATTCTTTAGATATTTCAATAAAACGTTGAAAATTTTTGGTGTGCCTATTGGCATATATTTTATTAGTTAAACTACTGCTCCTGGAGTATTAAACTACTAAGGCTTGTCAGAATTGATTGTTAAACTACTACTCCTTTGATAGTCTATCTTAAAAACGTTGTCAAAATATAAATATTCTATCTTTGTTTTTTTGTTAATCGAAATTGTTTATATTTTCATGAAAATCACAAATTTGTAATAATTACATCTTTATATATTAAAAGTAGGGTAAAATACGTTTTACTTTGAAACTTTTTCAACTACTGGGTACTGTACTTCATCAGTAAAAAAAACGGTATATCATTTTAAGAAAAAATAATTTTACCACTCAATGAAAGAGTCTTTTCTAAATAATACATATTTTTTGCAAAGACATAAACTATAATTTTTATATTAAATTTTAGCGTGTAACTATACCTCGAAATTTTAAAAGCGGTACCCATAACCTGAACAAGCTGGGGCCGTATAATTTTAACAGCACTCTAATCTCTAATAGGTTTATCGACTAGTGATCAGTATTGTCATTTGTATTAATTACTGCAAATTAAATAAGTTTTATAGCTAAAAATTAGTGTAGTTAAAAATTATTGAACGTTTTGAATAGAGTTTTTTTGATTTATAATTGAAAATTTGCTTTGTCATTCATGAAAAATGTAATTAAAAAGTAATTACAAATATTTATCATTTTTAAATGAACATATTAAATATTGATAGTATTATTTTTAATATTAATCAATAATATGTTATAATTCTTTAGATATTTCAATAAAACGTTGAAAATTTTTGGTGTGCCTATTGGCATATATTTTATTAGTTAAACTACTGCTTTGGGAGTATTAAACTACTAAGGCTTGTCAGAATTGATTGTTAAACTACTACTCCTTTGATAGTCTATCTTAAAAACGTTGTCAAAATATAAATATTCTATCTTTGTTTTTTTGTTAATCGAAATTGTTTATATTTTCATGAAAATCACTAATTTGTAATAATTAAATCTTTATATAATAAAAGTAGGGTCAAATACGTTTTACTTTGAAACCTGTTCAACTACTTGGTAGTTCAATTTATATCAATTTTTTAAATGAAAAAATTTTTCGTAATGCAAGTATAAAATTTATAAACACAAATTCTAAAATTAGGTTACTAAATTTTTATTATTTTTGTACTTACCCGCTTAGTAGTACTCATAATAAATAATTGTATGATAATTGTGTTACTAGTGAGACTGGTGAAGTAGAAAGTGACAGCGTCATCATATGAAAAGTAAGAAACTTTTTTTTTATACCTCCGTGGCGCCATCTTACAATTTTTTTTAAACAAAATTATAGCGGTTAAAAATAATAATGGCGTGTTTATTGTTTACTGTATTTACTGTGCACTTGTGCACAGTAAAATAAGTTGTTAACAGTAAACAAACAATGAAACAATTATAATAAAATTAATTTAATAATAATTATTATAAATTGTAAATATAAAATATATAAAATAAAAAAAAATGTGCGACTCAGTTGAATCATACACAATTGGTGCAAAGTACCGCACTGTAAAAAAACGGCTTGACAGTTTAGGTTATAAACATTCGCTGTCTTTAGACTCTCTCAGCTTAGTTGAACAGCTACTTGCTGATTTAATAAAAACAACTGAGAGTTTAAAGCATTTTAAAAGTGTCGCTGCTAATAATACTGAGGTAGGTTTTTTTATGATGAAAATTAAGTTAGCCGACATTTAAAAATTTTTAATAGAAAATTAAGTTAGCTGACATTAAAAAATTTTTAGAAATTTTTTTATTGAATAAATTCCAATTAAACAATTAAAAAAAAAATTTCACATGTAAAAAACTTGAAAAACTACAAGTGCAATTTTTTATAAATCTTTTTTTAGTTGCAAATTAATTTAAAAAAAAAATCAAAAATTTTTAGATGTCGGCTAACTTAATTTTCATAAATTTTTAAGATTTTTTTATGACATTAAAGTTAGCAGTCACTTGACTATTTTTTAATTTTTTTTAACAACTAAATTTGTTCCAAAAAATTATTTTTTAAAAATTGGATTTTTAATTCTTAAAAATTTCTACATGTCCATTTTTTTTTTTATTTTTTTTATCATAATTTAATTGTTACAAAAATTTTTAAAATTATTAAATATCTGCTAAATTAATTTTCATGATTTTTTTTCATTAAAAAAATAAGAAAAAATTTTCATTTGAAAAAAAAAAAAACTTTAAAAACTGTAAGTGCATTTTTTTAAAAATATTTTTT